GACTTACTCATACTCAGACTTACTCATACCCAGGCGTACTCATACTCAGACTTACTCATAGTCTGAGACTTACTCAACACACAGCAGATTGTGAGGATGTCTCAGGCGGGGCGCTGGTTTCAGCACCCCTAAGGGGAGCCGCCAGGGGTGGTTGCACGGGCTCGTTCGCGGCCATTTTGTGGGGATGTCTCAGGCGGTTTGCTTGTTTCTGGGCCCAACATCCTTCGCTTGGAGAGCAGATTGTGAGGATGTCTCAGGCGGGGCGCTGGTTTCAGCACCCCTAAGGGGAGCCGCCAGGGGTGGTTGCACGGGCTCGTTCGCGGCCATTTTGTGGGGATGTCTCAGGCGGTTTGCTTGTTTCTGGGCCCAACATCCTTCGCTTGGAGAGCAGATTGTGAGGATGTCTCAGGCGGGGCGCTGGTTTCAGCCGCCCCTAAGGGGAGCAGGGGTTGTGAGGATGTGGCAGGGGCTGTTGCACGGGCTCGTTCGCGGCCATTGTGTGGGGATGTCTCAGGCGGTTTGCTTGTTTCTGGGCTCAACATCCTTCGCTTGGAGAGCAGATTGTGAGGATGTCTCAGGCGGGGCGCTGGTTTCAGCACCCCTAAGGGGGGCCGCCAGGGGTGTTTGCACGGGCTCGTTCGCGGCCATTTTGTGGGGATGTCTCAGGCGATTCGGTTGTTTCTGGGCTCAACATCCTTCGCTTGGAGAGCAGATTGTGAGGATGTGCTTCGTCGGCCCTGTCGCCCACGTGGACGCGCTAGTGTAGTTGACCGCTCATGAACAGACGCTCACCACGGCATGACATAAAACATGAGATGCACATATGGGGAGCTCCACGCAGTGAGTAATTTTCTGTCCAAGCATCCTTCGCTTTCGGAGCAGATTTGGAGGATGTATCGAGCGAGGCGCTCATTTTGACCCCCCTAAGGGGAGGCCGCCAGGGGTTCTCTCACGGTTCCGTTCGCGGCCGTTTTGCGGGGATGTCTCAAGCGGTTTGCATGTTTTCTGTCCCAACATCCTTCGCTTCTGGAGCAGATTTGGAGGATGTCTCGAGCGAGGCGTTCATTTTCACCCTCCTAGGGGGAGCCGCCAGGGGTTAGCTCACGGTCCCGTTCGCGGCTGTTTTGTGGGGATGTCTCAAGCGGTTTGCCTGTTTTCTGTCCCAACATCCTTCGCTTTCGGAGCAGATTTGGAGGATGTCTCGAGCGAGGCGCTCATTTTCACCCCCCAGGTGGGCCAGATTTTGAAGATGTCTCGATCGGTGGCCAGACTTGTGGGCACAGATTCTCCTCAGGATGCCACAAGAAGCTCCAACAGGCTCCAGAAGGCCCCAGGAGACCACATGAGGTCCCAGGAGGCCTCAGGAGGCCACAGAAAGACTCAAGAGGCCACAGGATGTCCCAAGAGGCTCTAGGAGGCCCCAGGAAGCTCCGGGAGGCCTCAGGAAGCCACAGGAGGCCCCGGGAGGCCAGAGGAAGCGCCAGGAGTCCTCGGAAGGCAACAGGAGGCCCCGAGAGGCCCCAGGAGCAGGAGGCTTCAGAAGGCAACAGGAGTGGCTCCAATCCCATGTGTTGTACGTGTGCTCCTATAGATTGGGCCTCACCTGGAGCACGAATCCTGGATGTTATGCGTATGTTTCTATAGATTGTCCTTCTCCTGTGTACTTATGTTCCTACAGGGCCTCTCCTGGGGCACGAGTCCTTGGTGTTCCTATAGATTGCCCCCTTCTCCTGTGGCTCCAATCCGTAATGTTTTATCATGATGTACGTCTGTTGCTATTAGGTTGGGCCTCTCCTGGGGCACGAATCCTCCCTTGGAGGTCCCAGGAGGCCCCAGGAGGCCCCAAGAGGCTCCTGGAGGCTCCAGGAAGCCCCAGTAGGTTTCAGGAGGCCCCAGGAGGCCCCAGGAGGACCCAGGCTCATGCGCAGAGACGCGCTCGTACTACTGAGGCTCGTTCATACTCCAATTCATTCTCAGTTAGATTCATGACCAGACCGTCACAACTGAAGCCCGTTTATATTCGAAAGCTCTTGCGCCTAGATTCACGGCGGACAGGTCCATGCGAATAGATGCAAATATGGGGAGTTCCACGCAGTGAATATTTTTTCCTCGCAGCGTGGACCCCCCGAGAGGTCCAGGCCCGCCCCTCGGGGCCAGCTTCGGTTCCTGGACCGCTCTCGGACAGCCTCGGGGCCGGGCGGGGGGCCCCGCAGGCGGAAAACTGCCCGAGAACCTCGCGCCGATTTTTTTCCCCACGACAGCGACAGGAGGTCTGCCTCCCCCCGTCCCCCCTGCCTGGGAGGGGCTCGAAGTAGGCGCCCAGTCGCCTGGGCGGCCCAAGAGCTCTGTGGACAGACGCCTCGACTTCCCGAACTGTGGGGCCCCGGAACATCCATGCACCGAGGTCCTTCGCCGGACTCGGTTCATGGGCTCCTGGCCGACCAAGCGACGTGCCGCATGCATCTTTTCCAATGGCTCTCCCCTCATCATACCGCTCCATGGGCGAGGGGACTGCCTGGATAAAACCCCGTGCTGGTTCTGACGCTACAGCTCGCTTCGACAATCTCGCGAGGCCGCACGTGGCGAAAACAAGCTCGAATCCCCACCCGTCCGTAGCTACAGGTAACACATCCTCAACACTTCTGGACACATCAATCATTCACTTGTGATTTGAGATCTTGTGCAGGCGCCCAGGATGTAACGGATTTCTTCCGATCTACGATCGAGCGGACTTTCTCGTCCACCTGAGAGCGCCGACGCACAACTGGCCGTTACTTCGGGCCCACGGCCCACTCCGAAAAACGTGACCTCCAGTCCCGCAGCTCATGCCCACGTTCTCTGATGAAGGCCGCCTCGTCCAGTCTAGCGCGCCGACGCACGAACGGCGCGGCCTCGCGCGCATGTCCGGAACCGACGGGCAGGCCCTCCACGTGGCTAATTAGCTCCACCTCACGAGCACGCATGAAATCCAGATAGTTGGAGCTCGCTCCGGAGATGTAAATTTTCTCTGGCTTCGACTGCTCGGCATAGCAAGTTGAAGGGTGGCCTCCAAGACCAGAGACAGGACAACCTCCATGAACAGATGCAGCACGAGAAAAGCCAGAACTTTCTGTATGAAGATCTGTTCCCGAGGTCTTGCCCATAGCATGGCGTGCACGCAGGCGTCTGCTGCCTCCCGGCACAGCGTCAAGGGGCCCGCGGCCAGCAACATGGCTCCCAGCTCACGGTCGCGACAGACTCGGAGATGCTCGAGAAGGCCACGGCGCCGCAAGAACAGCGCGTGGTGCATGCATCGAGCCTCGCCGAACGCCCCTCCCCCCGTGGAGCCCCTTGGAGCCCCTGGCCGCGGGTTGGCGGACTGCGGCGTGTTGGAGCCGCTGGTCAGGCTCATCGCCACGCCGCCTGCGGCCGCTGCGTGCCCGCCGCTGCTGGGAGCGCCGCCGGCGGGTGCCTCTGGCCGAAAGGGCGCGGGCAGCTACCTGGCCTCGCTTGTGGCCGCTGGCATGTGGTGCCAGGCGCGCAGGGCGGAGGTCGGCACGACGGCCAGCGACGTGTGCCTCCGCTGCGGCGTCGCACCTGACACCCGTCTGCATCGCCACTGCGACTGCGCTGCTGGCGGGCCCAGCTTCCAGCTCGTCGGCCGCATGGCGATGTTGAGGGCCCGAGCACATCCCAGAGATCGGGCTGCTGCTCGAGCGCTGCTTGTGGGCCGCCCCATCTGGGATGGACGGGCAGGCCGCGGCGCCGTGGCGAGCGCTGCTGGCATGGCGCCCACGACGGCTACGCGCCGTAGGGGCAGATCTTCCTGGACGGCTCCGCATTCGAGGCGGAGTTTCAGGGCAGCACGAGTGTGGGCTGGTCTCTGGTGGCTCTTCGGCCCAAGGCCGATGACTTTCTCATGTCGGTGTCAAGCCTTCTCGACGAGCCCTACGTTGACATCAACGCGTCGGTGAGCACGCATTGGTTGTTCGGCGGATTCCATCGTACCGCCCTCGCCAGGACGTCGCGCACGGTCTGATCAGCTACCGCGACTGGTAATGGAATCGGCTGGCCGACGAGGCGGTCAAGTCTGCTACAAGCTTTGGTCGGTTGCCACCTCCGCAACGTGACAATCTCCGCCAAGCTGGGGAAACCAAAAAGTACCGATACCGCAACTCCCCAAACCTCTCCCGGGGCGCGTTCTGACTCGAATTTCGAGGCGAATCCAGCGGTGGCGACGAGGGCCTCCCAGAAGGCCCAAAAAGGGGAAAACGGGCGAAGGGTAGAGGTATGGGTACCTCTTCCTCCTCTGCCAAGCTGCCGTCTTCGTGGAGGACGTGCCGCGCTGGTGCGCCGCCGCCCCGCGCCAGCCTGCGCCGGCGCCGGCACGACGCACCGCAAGGCGATGCCGCAGCGGGCCGTGGCGCGGGCCCCGCCTCCTCCTCCTCCTCCTCCTCCTCCTCGTCCGTCCGTAGCCATTTTGGCTCAAGCCGGCCTCAAGCCCCCTGGTCGCCATTTCCCTCGCGCATGGCCGGTCTGGAGTGTGGCGCTGCAGGGGCTTGGGCATGTCACTACGGGAGCCGCCTCTTCGAGGCGCAGCGGCAGCGCGGGCCGCCGCAGACAACCTGGTGAGGAAGCTCCTTGGCCAGATCGACGTGCTCCGCAAGGAGGTGGATCGGCTGCGTTCTCTTCAGCATGGCCCTGCTGACGAGGTCGCCCGACGCGAAGACATTGCACGGCCTGCTCTTCGCTCCCTTGTGGCTGGCGATCGTCTTTCTGGTGGCCGTCGTCTACGACGGAACGTTGCATGGCATGCAGCGGCTTGCCCGAGTGCTGGTGCCCCGCGCGAGGCATGGGTCGCAGCCCAGGCGGGCCCACGCTTAGGCTCAGGCGTCCCCTCGGCGACACCTGCTTCCGAGGAGCAATGCCACGCGGAGGTCGGCGGGCTGCAGCGCGATACGAACGTTGAGATGCTGGCGGCGCCGTCGGCCCCCTCTCAACCCGCAGTGCTGTGCCGCGAGGCTCTGCCTTTCTTTCCAGGTGCTGGCGCTCATCAGTTTCGAGGTGGTACGTGCAACGTGGACGACCTCCTGGAAGTGTTGGTGCCTGCTGTCAAGTTTCCTGCGTGCAGGTCAACCCCCTTGCCGCGGATGGCTCTGAGGGTGGTGGCGCAGCGTTGCCGCACGAGTCCGAGGCCCAACTCACCAAGCAGATGGACGAGGTCAAGCCGAACTCGTCCATCCTCCCTGCCAGCGCGTGTGAGGATCATCTCATGTTCACCGAATCCGAGTGTAAGGCGGAGGCGGGCGGCCTGCTTGCGAAGGCTCAGACCGACGAGCCCCTGGACAAGCTGGCGCCTGCTACTGCGCATCGTCATGGCCATGTGGATGGTGTCGATCGGGTCTCGAGCTCTTCGTGGTGGTTTGCTCGTGATCTCGTCGCCCGTGCTTGGCTGCGTAAAGCTCCAGCTCGTGAAGATGATGATGATGATGCTACACCTTGCGTTGGTGACGGTCCCACCGCTGCTGCAGCTCCTTTCGTTTTCGCCCAGGGTATTCTCCGCGAGGCTGTGGACGATTGTGAGTACGGCTCCCGCGCGCAGAGAGTTGGTTTCAAGGGTACTCGGCTGGACGCTCGTTCCAAACGCAACGTGAAGGCGAAGTACTATCCTCGGCTTCTCCTGCGACGTGTTCGGGGCTCGTCGTGGTGGCCTTCATCGTCCCCGCCCTGGAGTTCCTCCTGCCCGCGCTGCTGGAAGAGCCCAGGGATCGTGTCCTGTGGCTGATGTTGAAGAAAATCCTCCACCTCCTCCTCCTCCTCCTCCGCCTCCTCCTCCTCCTCCTCCTCCGCCTCCTCCTCCTCCTCCACAATTACAGAATATGAAAATACTCTCCCACTTCCCCTGATGGCGTCCCGAAGATGGCCGGCCCCCCCCCGCGTACTGTTTTTTCACACGCAGGATTCCCGGGAAACGGGTTTTCGCCTGCGTTTTTTCCAAAATGCTGCTCTCGCTGAGGCGCCGGCCTCATTTCTGCTCCCGAATCGTTCCGAATCGTGCTCCCGCTGCAGCGTGGGCCTCATTTTCGGATCGGTGTTTGGCCTCCGTCGTTCAGGATGGCGTTCTCGCCCCAGCGCGGGCCTCTTTCTCGCGCGCCCATCCGCCCGCCACCACCGCGCCGCACCACCACCACCCCACCACCACCACCACCACACCACCACCATCACAACCACCACCAGCACCACCAGCACCACACCACCACCAGCACCACCACACACCACACCACCACCACCACCACCACCACCACCACAACCACGCACACACGCACGCACGCACGCACGCGCACCACCACCCACTACGCACGCGCGCGCGGAGCCACAGGTCCGCTACGACACGCGTCCGCGGATAGAGAAAATCAGCGCCATGGTAAGGGATGGGAGGGAGGGGTAGGACGTCAGATATGACGCGAGCGCACCTAGCTTGTCCCCCTCCCCCTCCCTCTCCTCCTCCCCCTCCTCCGCCTCCGCCTCCTACTCCTCCTCCGCCTCCTCCCTGGCTCGCCCTTGTCCGCGATGGGCGATGAGAGGGGCCCGCGGGATGGTGCTTATGGTGCGGGCGCTGGAACGCACAGTCCATGAGGTGCCCCGGGAGCGTGCGGTCGGCCGTCCTGGACCTCAGCGCCGAGCAAGTCAGGAACGGGCGTGGCTAGTACTCCAAGTGGAGCTGCGGCCCTTGAGGCCCACCGTTTGCAGCGCGAGCGCGGGGGAGCAGGGCCGCAGCGCAGTGCGACGAATCCATGAAGGGCTTCAGGACTGCGGCCAACTCGACGGGCACGGCCGTCCTCTCCCGCCTCGACAAGCTGCTGATGACGGGCGTCGGGCGCAGTGATGCCTTCTCCACCGAGATCCTTCGGATCTGAGCGGTGAAGCGAGGCTGCCTGTCGATTGCGATGGGCGTTGGAGGCGGCCAGCTGGATGCCCGCTTCCATTTCTCGTGCATCCTCCTCCACCCTTCTCCTCCCTCCTCCTCCTCCTCCTCCTCCTCCTCCTCCTCCTCCTCCTCCTCCGCCGCCCCCCCACCGTTACCTCATGTTCCTAACTTCCCCGCTCATCCCCGGCTCCCCCGCCTCCTCCCTGCCCTCCCTCACATTATTTTCTGCTCTTCCTATCTTCTCCCTTCCTCTTCCTCTTCCTCTCCGCCCCTCCCTCCCTCACCTTCCGTCGTCTCCTCCTTCTCCTGGGCCAAATAACGACGGACACAGGTCTGGCCCAAGAGGCACGCGGGGCAGAACGCGAAACCAGGTTCGATGTTTTCCTTCCCGCCTCTCGTGCTCATCCTGCTCCGTGTCCTCCCCAAATCCCTCCCCCATGAACATAACCTCTCACTGCCGCACTCCCGGACGTGTCGGCATGGCGGGTTGGGTATTTCGCCAGAGATTCCTGCGCCAGTTGTGATACTGAAGCAGATGACTCGCAGCCGTCTTACGAATGGAGGGTGGGTCGTTTTCATACTGCGGTTCTCGCCTTAGCGCCGCGCGCAATCGCTTCCAACGTTTGGAGCAATTTCAAGTAAGGGGGGCCGGCGGTTTTGAAAATATGGCTCTCGCCTTGGCGCCGCGCGCACTCGTCTCAAACATTTGCAGAGAAACGTTGCTCTCGCCTGAGCGACCCGCACATTCGTCATAAACGCGTGCAGCAATGTCACAAAAAAATCGTTCGGTCAAAGTCCCAGGGATGGTGTTCTGGCACGGAATACAGATGTCAGCACGCGACAAACGTGTTGATTCGCGGCGTTGAAGTCCCAGAAATGAAATTATGGCACGGTTTCGGATTGTCAGGACGCACCAGTCGCGTTGACCTGCAGCGTTGGAAGTCCCCAGACCGGTGTTTCGGCAGGGTCTAGGATTCTCAAGCGGTTGTCTTCGCATGGGCAACTTCCCGCAACGAAGGAATCTACTTTCTTTCAGGGAACTAGTGCGACGGAACTTGGAAGGCTGTTTCTTTACAGCACCGTTGATGCGTCTTGAGTTTGCACTCCTCCTCCTCCTCCTCCTGCTCCCTCTCCTCCTCCTCTTCCTCCTCCTCCTCCTCCACCTCCTCATCGTCGTCATATCATTTATCTTCCTCTTCCTCTTATTCCTCCTCCCCCTCCTCATCTTACTCCCTCCTCGCGCGTAGCTCGGAATGAGGTTCGATTAGTCCTCTCCCTTAAACTGTTGGAGCAATTGGGCACGAGCAGCCCTCGCACACTCGGCGATCGGGGTGGCGATCGTAGCATTCTTTACATTATTGATACATATGATAAGCGACTACAACTCTCTGGGCGACTAGCTTGCGCTGATCATCTGTCATCTTCGCCGACAAAGCAAGCCTGCGATCAAGGAATGTCTCGATCGGGTCATTCGGTTCCCAGATCTGTAGAACAGCCGCCCAGAGCTCGGGACAACTAAGGTCGCGACCTTGTGCGTCCAGCTCATGAAGACATCCGAATTTGCATGGGCAGTCCCTTCGCGACATGCGCCGTTTCGTCGTCCACCCCCCCGCCAGAATCCGCGGCATTGAGATCTGCCATGCTGGAGGCATTCGAACAATGACATCTCTCAACTTCGGCCAATTTAGAGCCGCGAGAGCACGTGCTGTCGGGGGCCTCGAGGCCCACTTCGATATGCGCTTCGCAATCGTATCTCCCAGGGAGTCAACCAAAGTCGCCTCTTCCACACCATGGGCGGTCGTCCTCTGGATGGGCGCCCCTGGGAAGATGTTGCGAGCTTCGGCGAGGGCGTGGCGGGCATGCAACACACGTTGGTGCAGGCGCGGGCAGGCTGGAAACGACTGGCTGGCAGCATGCAATTCCTGTGCGCACGGGCGAGCGCGCCAATGCGGCGGGGGCCAGTTGTTTGCTGTCCTGACGACCATGGGCGCGCGCTGCTGACGCTGCTGCTTACGGCGAGACCAGAGAGGGCGCCAATTAGTAATTGTCGAGAGCGCGGAACGAATGAGCGCAGCCGCGCACGAGATGCGGAGAGATCGAGGGCGGGTGCGAGACCAAGAACGGAGCGACGCGGCGCAACGCCCAGCCCCCCCTCTTCGAAATGGATTTCGGCATTGGCGAGAGCTGTGCAATATAAGCAGATTTCGAGACCGCTCGAGAGTTGCACAGAGCGATTGCAACTGAGGGGGCGGCCTCTGCCGCAGCAAGATCATGCATGACACCGCGCCACTTACGCGCCCGCATCGCGGGTCTCGATGCTGACGGGCCGGTCCACACCCCTAAATATTCAGCGCAGCCGACCATGGGGATGTCAGCCCACATGGGCACTCGCTTAGATAAGAAACTCTGCGCGCTCTCTTTTAGCTCGCACGAGAATGCAGCACCAGCAGGGCTCAATTTGCACTTCTCAAGCTTCCAGCGGAGACCCGCTGGGATCTGCGCAGCATAACAAAAAACCCAAGTCAAGTTCACGAAAGCTTAAATGCCCCAAAGAGGCGCCCCGACATCATCCGCACAAGCGCCAACCTCCGCCCCAGGGAATGCATTCAGCCCTTGCGCACATCACGAACTATCGGATCCATGCAGAGGGCCCGCATTGTGGAGGGTGCGCCGCTGGATCTCCCCAAGGGGGGGGGGGTTAGGACCCCCGCCCCCCCCCCTCCCCGATCCGTCGTCGGGCCCCCCCCCCTCCCCCTTCCCCGATCCGTCGTCGGCCCCCCCCCCCCCCTTTCCACGACCCGTCGTCGGGGACCCCCCCCCCCCCCTCCCCCCCTTTCGCCACGCCGCCCCTTGACGCCGGAACCCGACCCCGCCACCCCTACCCCTAGTCCTGACCCGAACCCAAACCCCGAATCCGAACGCTAACCACTAACCCCAGCCCCAAAGGGAGTCACGAGGGCCCCCCTACCCCCTAACCACTAACCCCAGCCCCCTACTCACTACCCCCTACTCAATACTCGCTATTCGCTACTCACGACTCACTACTCACTCTCCACTACTCACTACCCACCACCCACTACTCGCTACTCACTACTCCCTACTCACTACTCCCTCCTCCCTACTCACTACTCACTCCTTACTACCCACTACTCAATACTCACTAAGCACGACTCACTACTCCCTATTCACTACTCAATAATCACTACTCATTACCCACTACCCACTATCCACTACTCACTACTCACTACTAACTACTCATTGCCCACTCATCACTACTCACTACCCACTACTCGCTACTCGCTACTCCCCACTCCCTACACAATACTGACTACACAGTACTCAGTACTCGCTACTCGCTACTCCGATACCCGCTACTCAATACTCACTACTTACTCCCCGCTACTCACTATTCACTACTCACTACA